TCAATCGATTCGTCTTAATCATGGGAGTGCTACTAAAGATATGATAACAATCAAAAATCAATGCGGAGGCAACTGGGCGCCATATTGTGAGTAAGAAAAAAAAATAAGTTGCCGAAATATGTCAAGTGGGGTATCATTGTCTAGATAATCAAAAATCATGTTTAGGTTCCTTACACTACCCCACTTGACATATTTCGGCAACTTATTTTTTTTTCTTACTCACAATATGGCGCCCAGTTGCCTCCGCATTGATTTTTGATTGTTATCATATCTTTAGCGCTTTAAAGTTGTATATTAACCACTTGCGCTTTTAATTTCAATCTTACGTTTGTATGGATCTTTCTTTGTAACTCTTTCACTCAAAAAACACTAAATGGATTTTAGTCAAACTAACCAATAATAAAGCTCACACATAATATTAGCATATAGATTTTAATTTGTGTCGCTATTGGTGAATTGGCCAAAATATAACAATAAGTGTCACGTGAGACGGAAAAAATCTCCCATCTGCGAGCCATTTTGGCCTGCACTGCAAAAACAATAAAAGTTACATGAATATAATGTGCAGTGGAATTGTATCTCTTATATAGTTCTACAAAAATGTCCAGGACAGCATATATCTATTTTTAATGTGTAAGCCATTATAGCTAAAACAGTGAATCAAAAATAAAATATTATTTGAAATAAATTTCCAAAATGCATGTTTCGTATAAACAAATAATTTTTTATCAAAACAAATACTTTTATCGCTCTTGATATTTAAAGAGGATAAACTTTGCCTTTTACTCTGTGTAATTTCGACAAATATTTAAAAAGTTACAACGATGTTACGATGACAAAGTGATAGCGCGTTGTGCTATGCAGGAGTACCTACGAGTAAGCTGAGGGAATGGTGGGAAAAGTGATGAATTTTGGTGTTTAAAAACGTAGATAAAACCTAGGAGGAAAAGAAAAAAAATGGGCTACTCACTGTATCTAATCCTATACGAAGTACTTACAATAAAACTGTGATAAAGTTCCTTCTTATTAAATGATGAAAAATAAGTTATCATAATAGGTATTTATATTTTTTTTAAATTTTATGAAAAACTGAGAATGAAACGGTTTTCAAAGTTTATTTTAACGATATTACTTCATATTATTCTGCAGATAATTCTGCAAAATTCGAAGCAAATAATATAATTTTTTATAGGTAAATCACCCCTCCCACCACCCTACCCCTATAGATATTTCGATAATGTAGCTTAGAACCAAGGCCCCATCTATTTCTATAGGGAAATTGATCTTAATCGATTTAGCTATTAGGGCGCGGAATCGTAACAAACAAATTCACTTTCGCATCTATATTATTATATTATACTAGTGATCCGCTCCGACATTGCATGGGCGAAATTTATTTTAACGGGATAGAATAAATCCTATGTCACTTGAATATAATGTAGTTATAAAGAAAAAAAAACCTCTCGGAGAAGTTGTTAGAATTTTTCAAGTAAATGTTTCTTTAGTTTTATAAATCGAGCAGATTAATCAACTTTTTGAGATTAATGCTTAAAAATATATTAAATAATGTAGCTAGCTACCTTATGGTGAATGAATTATCGAAATCGCATCTCTGGCTCCTACATAGGGTCAGTTCGCCTATTCGCGTCCATTTAGTGCAGTTGGCAAGTTTGACGGCGATAATAAAAATATCCCAACACTAATTTCTATGAAAAATTTATATAATGCGTTCGTTATATAGTCTATTTTAAGATTAACTTTCAGTTTTGTTCGAATCATCTATTGTTTTTTATTTAAATAGATAAACTTCGGAATTAGGGGTTTTACCCACTTTGCGTCCACAAAATCCAAATTGCGTCTACCCGTAGACCATTTAGCGTCCACTACCTTAGAAAAGGAATATCGGGGTGATATTTTTAAGCATTTTTACAGAAAGATTGTACCTATTTTAACAATTTATTTATTTTAGAATATAAATATTATAACCAACATTATTATCATTAAACTTCACTTTAAAAATATAAAAAATATCCTTCTCAACATTGATTGAATTTAAAATTATATAAGTAGTAGGTAAATAATTACTACACCTTTAAGAATAAACAGTAATCAGTTCAGTTAATTTTAGGTATATTATTATGTCTAAAAATCAACCATTATTAACAATAAGTTTTGAGCTATATTAAAGCAACAAAACAATACAACAATTATCTAATCATACAACTAGAAGAATTGTTCAAAAGACATATATTTGGCCTCTTAATAACTAAATCCTACAAATCGCGTGCATTTCAGATGATACCATCTGATACACAGCCTATGTTTTTCTCATCGTCGTCTTCTACATCTGTAATTAGTATATCGTCACATCCAGAAAATTTTCTTTTTAGAATTCCTGATTTCCTGTGTGACTTCTTGAAGAGCATGTATCTTCTTCTTTCGTTTTGGAGCAGTTTTACGAAGCGTTTGAAAGTGTTTTAAACACTTTTTCTGTTCTTGATTCTCTATTCGTTCTAACTTTCTTTTTGTATTGCTTCCTGCTTTTCGTTCTTGATCTGCTCTTTATCTTCATAATACTTACTCTATGCAGCAGAAGATATGGTTGCTAGAGTTCTTTTATTATCTTTTCGTGCTTTGTTAGAAATTTCGGGTAGCATTAGGTGGTGTCTGGTCCCGGTTCTTCTACTTTATTTGGTCTGTGCCCACTGATTTTGTACAATATTGTGGTCTTGGGAATAGCATATTCTTTGCATATGTGTCTTACCGATTTATTATTTTCTCGAATTTCATATAACGCTTTCTTTAAATCGTCTTCTGTGTATATTCTCTTTTCCGTCTACTTTCTTGTCTCCGAAGAACTCATCTCAAATAGAAAAAAAATAAGAATGAAACAAACAAAGTACGTGATTGATTGATTGAAATAACTCATTTCATTTAAAAATAGTATTATAAACACGTAGTCATAATAAAAATATATAATAATAATAATCAATACCTATATTTTAAATTATAATTAATTAATTGTATTTAACGAAAACAGTGGACGCAATTTGGCTTATTATTATCCCCTGTAGGTATAGTTTGCGTCCATTGCGGACGCAAATTGGAAGTTTTGTAAATTCGATGTAGTAATTCGCGTCCACCTTATTTTATTCATTAAATATAAAAAACATAAAAAAAAATATAATTAAAATTATTCCTTTCTTCACTATAAAAGTCTAGAAATAGTTATGTATCCTATAATTAACATAAAAAAATAATAAACTTACCATCGAACGCCCCGCTGCACGCTATTTTTTATCTAAATATCCCGCACTCCCTTGATGAATAACCGAGACTAACTATTTTTTTTAACCGGGATTGTTTGGCGCACCTACCTTTTGTCCATGTGTTCGTGCCTCTTATACATTGAGGTATTAGGGGTAATTACTTTTCGTTCGATTGGTATGTTAGTTTACTTATTTTTGAGGATTTTTTAAGGGAGATCCGTAAAATGGACGCGAATTGGGCGATGGACGCGAACAGGATATTTGACAATATATGACCCTATTTGGTTCTGTGAATTATGTAAGTAAAACAAATTATGAGACAACGATATGCACTGCATTTGTGTATATCACAATCTTAGAGTTGCATACAACCACTGCCAATTTTAGATAGTCGACAAAATAAGTAAATGAATTTTTTATTTACTACTTACTAAAAAGAACATAAGCAAAAGATGACTTTTTGAATAAATACGGAAAATAAGTACTAGTTAAGTATATAATTTACATTCATTAGATATACGGATAAGGAATTGATTTAACTTACACATTTTTGCGAAAATTAAGGCCCATACGGCCTTGACCGTGATGGTAAGGTGTCGTTTAGACTACCGCAAGGTACTTACTAATCCGCTTGACATTACCTCCCTTATTGAAGTGACAAGACTGCAGTATATACCGTCTTATAATCCTAACTAAAAAGTGTAAAATAAAAAAGGTAAATTTAAAAAATCAAAAAACCCGACTGCTATAATATTATTCAAATGTTTAATACTTGAAAAAGTATTCATTTGACATTGTGGGTTACCTACAATGCGAAGAGATGGCGCTGCCTTGCAGCTTAAGGCTAGGAAAATTTCGACTCGGCTAATAGGGCCGTGGTAGCTTAATGGTCAGTGCATTCGCCCGGATAGCGAAGGATGCGGGTTCGAGTCCCGTCCGCTGCCATGATTTTTTTCTAGTAAACTTTTCTTTAGATTTAAACATCTAGCAGTTAAATGCTTAAAAAATAAATAAAATCATGCTATAATATTACTTCAAATAAAAACTGAAAAGAAAAAAACAAGTCCAGTAGTCTATAATTCTGTTAAGTAAGGAACAAAGCCACTTTAACAATCGGGACCCATTATTGAAAAAAAATTATCCATCCTTGAATATGTAATGGGTCCCGACTGTTAAAGTAGCTTTGTTCCTTACTTAACAGAATTATAGACTACTGGACTTGTTTTTTTCTTTTCAGTTTTTATTTGAAGTAATATTATAGCAGTCGGGTTTTTAGATTTTTTAAATTTACCTTTTTTTATACATAGGTAACTCGCCGCGATAAAAATAAATACAATCAGAAAAGATTTTTCCAATTTGATGCAGTCTTTTCGGAAATTAACTGTAACTATCTGGACAATAGGTACATTTCGTATTTTTTTTATATGGATAAGTAATACAATCGAGTTTTAATTTAGATTTTCACCATAATAATATTGCATAGAGGTTTTGCTGCTGGTCTTCTAATGAAAGAAAGCCCGTACCAGAAATGGATGCCATAAGCACCGTGGTCTCATCCTAAGAATTAATCCCTATGAAAATATCTTACAAGCTTTTCTAGATTTACGTTGTAATGAGAAAAAGTCAATCAAAATATCATTGTTGCATCTCATTATTAAACAGAATCTTTTTTTTTAAGAACCTAAACATGTAGTTTTAACAAGAAACCTTCCGAGGTATAAACAAACACACCTGATTTAATAGTTGTTAACTTCGCGGCACTATAAGGCTTTTAGTATGGCACGTGTGCTAGCCGAGGCGGTAAGATGGCTCACGAGCGCGCTCTCCGAAGCAAACCGAACAACTGGCGGCCAAACAAAGCGACCAAGCAGCGCAGCTTTTAGGCCGCTATGGAAGCTTATTAGGTTTAATATAGCTTGATATAAATCAATCTTGTCTGGGAGCTAAGGACACAAATACTACATTTCCCGTTCAGGTAGTAAAATACTTATGAATACCCTTAGCACGAACCAATATTGAATTCGTAACGTTTGCGAGTCCGAAATGTCAATGTAAATTAATGTGTACTGGTTTTTACTTCTCGTTACGTACTTTGTGGCGCTGCTGTTCAAGTTTCCATACAAAATTTGACATTGATATTTCGCACTCGCAAACTATTCGAATTCGATATTGATTCATGGCTCCCCTAGCACGAATCAATGTCGAATTTGAACTGAAAACTTTTCTTGGAAACTTCATAGGCTGACACGTGTTGTACTGTTGCCACCAAATCCAAGGTATTCACTATGGCTTTGGGAGCGATAATATTTTTGATCATTTAAAACAATCAACAAGTCCTTTTTACTGGCGTTTAAAAATGTGTAGTGTTTTTAGAGTGTTATGTGATATTGTGATAGGTATTATTTTCTGAGCTGGTGTTTCTTTATTCCGCTATGGGGGGCACGCGTTGTACTTTGTGATTCCAACATTCATTTTAAATAGTTTTATAGGTTTAAAAGTATAAATGTTTTTTTTTTAATTTCATTAATGTGGGGGAAAGGCACCATTTTCAAAAGAGGGGTAAAAATATCTTAAATGCTTACATTTTAGAAATCAAATTGGAGGCCCTGATTCCAAAACTATATAATTTATATTTTTTAAATTTACATAGTTAAGGGCTACACAAAAAACAATCAAATAATATTTGCTAGAAAAACTTAAGATATTCATTTAATAATCAAACTGGAATATTGTTGTGGAGTTTGATTCATCGGTTCTTTTATGCAACTTAAAGCAGACTGAACCCCCTACCCTGGGAATCTTTGAAATCCTAACATAGCAAGTGAAACACGACACCACCAAAAGATGTTATTACACTTGTCTTCTGTAAGAGTACTTCCCTAGACGGGTACTCCGATCACTGCCGGATTTAGGGGAGGGTAACCCCCCAAAATTTTCAAAAATGAAAATTATAAAAAATAGGTTTCGAGCCACGATGGGACTAAACCGTCTATCGAAGCTTTCTCTCCTGAGCATTGAAAGCGATTTACTCCGAGAACTCGATTTCAACGAAATCATCAACGATTTTTCGGCGAAAAAAGCTCGAAAGGTTCCGTTCGTTAACTCTAAGATTTAATTTCAGATAATTCTTGTTTCCGTTTATATTTATATGTGTTTGTTCAATACTAAGGGAATCTACTTGGTTCACAATAAATTATTTATTGAAAAACTCGACTGAAAAAAAAATGTTTACTTTATTTGGAATATAATTTGGGGTGAGGGGGCCTCCGCTCCTCTGTTGCCCCGAAGCCTCTGGACCTCTAAATCCGGCCCTGACTCCGATTCCGGAGGGAAATACGCTGTGCTCAAAGATGTAAGAAAAATAATAAGTGCTTTTCAAATTCTACTGCTATCGCAAAAAAGGTACAAGCATTATATTTAATCTAAATTCCTTATTGATTTATAAGAAAACTAGTATAAAATCAAATTTTATTTAAAGTTTAATTTTATAGTGATTATTAAGTAATAACTTAATTGATTCACATTAAAATAACATTTGTGACTGGTTTTTAAGCTCTGGACGGTTATTGTTTAAACTCTCATCGGTAACTTCTAGCGTTTGTCAGTGTGTTTACACACAACATTAGCAACTGAACCCAGTGTACTGAAATGATTGCCTAACTCTTTAGATGTTCTTTGAAATCAATGCTAAATATGTTCGTTTATTATGTAAGTGAGCTTAACACATTGATAGACACACAATATCCACTCAAATGTCATTTGCAATGGTAATGAAAGCAATTTCGTGTATTTGCTAACTTCCGCATTTGATCCCTGGCATGAGTATATAAAAGTCTATATTTTTATGTTATAACACTGAAATGTTGTCTGGTTTATTTGATACATTACCTGGGCGCTTTATCATGCCTTGTTGTTGCAACAAGATCAAAAGGTCAAAAGATGCTTTCGAGTTTCCTTTCAATAATTTTCAAATTGATCGCTTTCTAGAGGTAGATGATGACAAAATCCTCAAAAGCTGCGGGTGTCAAAGATTTTGGCAGGTGTGTATAATGAAATTTAAAACATTCTAAAAGGAACACGCTTCAGGATATAAAACGAACCACAGTACCTATAGTGTCATCTGCACCATTGTGAATACTTTAAATCATCATCATCAGCCTATTAATGTCCCCACTGCTGGGGCACAGGCCTTCCCTGTGGATGGAATAGGGAGAATTGTGAATACTATAAATGTGTTTACAATTATGTATTTTTCTTTGCATGTTCTAATTTAATTTTACAATTTTATCTCAATAATTATAAAATTCGTTATAACAATGACTGAGACTGTTGTAAGACATAAATAGAGGAATTGGAGTTTATTTGTTTATTCCCCATTAAATTTTTTTCAACATTTTTTTTATGACGAGGGAAGAAGGGGGCAGTAATAGTTTTCATATTAATGATGCAAACAAAACAAATCACGGGTTTTTCACCATGCACGGTGATAACCAACCAGGTGGGTGTTAGGCACCCTACCACCAGAAAAGCGGATGGAAGCTCCAATATCCCTTTGTCGCTTCTTACGACACCCACTGGAAGCGAAGGGGCGGTGAGTAGTATTCTTTCTCCGTCAACCATGCACCATTAATTGTGCAAGTCAAAGGTGCATTCCGTACAACAGGGCTAACTCTGGTGTCGTAAAATCTCAAACGGCGTAGATAGTACTAACACTTAAACCCGAGGCCACCGTTGTCAGTAAGTCTGTCTGTTTGCCTCTGCGTCTCTCAGTGAGCTGTTTGCTGTATCTGTCTCATAGGCAGTAACACGTAGATAGGATGTTGAAATTTTCACAAAATGTGTATTTCTGCTGCTAATATAGCAGCAATAATAAAAAAAATATTCTAGAAAAAATTCCAAGCATGTCCGACAACAGAGAACAGCGATTTAAACATCTAACATTTAAATGCTTAAAAAATAAAATATAACAAACAACAATAGTAAAAGTTAAAAAAGGGGTATTCTCCTTTCCACCAATGCTAAAAAACCTCATCTTGCTGTGCGTTTTTTCAAAGATACAATATCTGCCTAGTACTTTAGACAAGTAATATAGTACGGAATCTTTCGTGTGCGCTTTTTCGGCTTTCTAATAAACTTATTAAATTAGCCGGTTCTTGTAATGCAGCGGTTAGAGAGCAGGTTGCGTAATTTTACATCTTTAATCGCCGCTGCTAAGGAACAACATCGTCATCAGTACCAATGTGTGTTTTGCATATAGTATCTTTATTGTTTAGTGCATTAAAGAAATGAAGTAAACCAAAGTACCTAACTATTTAACGATCTGCGGTGGCAAAAACAATCGTGATGTATACAGGTGGTCGTGTTACGGTAACAAGATCGCTGATGCGCCGTCAGCCATGCTTTTTATGTGAAAACCGGCGGTCGATCAACTTAACGGGATCGGGGCATAACGAACGAACAACAGACGTGCGTTAGAAATTGTCCAAGAGACATAGACCAAAACATTCTACAAAAGTTACGTCTGTAGTCTATCTCACTCTCATACTTTAATAATCCTATATGGGCGCGATTTTGGTATGATTCTCTAGCTTAACCTAAAACTAGTTTTGGCAATAGTATGACCTTATCATTGAGAGTTAAAAGGAGTGAGTGATGTTAAAATTAGTTTTCAGTTTAAAGGATCATCTCAGAATCTGAGTCATTAATTACCAACACTCAGACAATCAAGATGACCATTGTCAATGTGACATTAAATTTATTTCCTAAAATATGATATGAAAATAATGATAGAGGGAAAATCTTAAGATTGTTTTCCTGTTTTCTATCACATTGATCCCTTTCATGATGGGAGGTACAAGACTTTTAGTTCTTTTTATTCTTTGTGAATTGTACTTCGTATTGTGATCTGTTCGTCTAGTAAGAGTTTGAAGTTACTATTATAGTTTTCGTGAGCTCTCAGTTTACGATATCAACGGTAGAACAATTAATGTGAATATTTTAATTATACATGTTTATTTATTCGTGTGTTTGGGATATCCAAAGGATATAAAACAGCAGTCTATCAACGGACAGACAGACATCTTGTTAATAACGTTACACTTTATTTCTAAACTAAATTTATTAAATCAGAAACAGTAACCTTGAATCACTCAATCCCCCAGGGTAGTGTTTTGGGTTGTGTTTTGTTCCTGATATATATTAACGACTTAACAAAAACAACGAACACAGAATGTATTCTTTTTGCTGATGATGTCTCAGTCCTTTCCTAATGTCCCAAAAACCTTAACTGTAATCCAATTATAGATTCCACACTGGCAACATTACAAAAATGGCTCCACTCGAATAATTTTGATGAAACAAAAATAAAACTAAACTCATTCAATTTCATCCATACCAAAAGCAACCAGTTGATTTAAACGAAGTTAGGATTTCCCAAAATATAGAGGAAGTAACCGATATTCAATTATTAGCATAACCATCGACTCACATCTGAACTGGAAACCTCATATAGATAAAATTAAGAAAATGGTTTCACAATTTATCTTCGCGGTTAGCGTTCATAAGGCCAATACGAATGCAAAATGTGCCTTGTCTGTATGTCTAATATCAGTATATACATACGCATGGTTGCGCTATGGAATAATATTATGGGGGCATAGTACGGACGTTCACGAACGGTTTATCCTTCAAAAAAAGTGTCTCCGTATTAAACCACATTTCATTAAAGTGAAATTGTTAACCCTTACTTCACTGTTTATAAGGGAAATAGCATTGTTTGTTCGCAAACAACTAACATATTTTACATTCAATCAAAATCCGCAATATAAATTT